TTATTATCTGCTTGACTTTCCAGCAAAGGTTTTTTGATCACTACCGCATTTTATATTAACAAATTTTTTATTACTAACATGCATTTTTATCGGCCTAGTATCTACAACACTACAACTATTTTTGTTTGACACAAATTATTTGTTATATAATGGTTGCAAATAAATGTTTATGAGTTGACATCAGAGCTCGAGTAAAAATCAACTTGACACTCTTGTTCAACTTTCAGAGATACAATCGGAGGAGGATCACATTCATTTATCACTTCCATTGGTTCTTGTATAGTGAGTTCAGAAGTTGATGGTGGAGGTGTTTTTTTTTATTTTATGGGTAATTAAACGCTTGTATCTAAAAATATTAAATTATTGTAGTTAAATTATTAACGGATATTTGTTCGGAGATTACCGGTAATATCCGCGGCCATGATCGTAATGATGAAACCCAAAAACCTAAGCATAGATAAAATTATTATATAATTATACGATAGGAATATAATACTTGTTTAATTATGGATATAGTTATTTTTAACTTCCCGTAGGGTAAGTTATTGTAATGGGCCGAAAATCAAAATTGAAAATTTTTACATTTATCGACGTTTTGAAGGTTTCTGAACATTTTGGCATACCTCAGAAAAAATGAATGTGTGTGTGTATGTATGTATGGATACAATTTTTCGGTTACGTTTTCGGGCGCACAGATCAACCGATTTAATTGGTTCAAAAAACATTTGATTCCTATTGATAGGGAGATGTGGTGATTAGTTTTTGGCAAAGGCAGGTCCAACAGTTACGGAGATAAAGAGCAAAGAGTGCAGAAAATAGAAATCGAGTTTTTGAGAGAACGGATCATCCGATTTGAATGATCTAAAAACATTCAATTAATAATGATTGGGAGAAGTGTTTGTTAGTTTTTGGCAAAGGCAGGCCCAGCCATTTCGAAGATACAGAGCTAAAAGTGCAAAAATGGCAGTTTTTGAGAGAACTAATCGTCCGATTTAAATGATTCAAAGAACTTTCTGCTTGTCTTAACAAAATAATTGATTTAGGAAAAAAACATTTTTGTTTCAACTTTTTTTTCATTTTTTTTTTCAAAAATTTTTTTTCTGTATATCGAAAATAATACAGATTTTATTTTTAATTCTGACTATAATTCTAATATACTTTAAACAAATAATTTAAACTTTGCAATTCAGTTAATATAATTCTTATAAATATTAAACATTGTTGCAATATTAATAATAATTTATTTGAAAACATTCAGTATTCCTCGAACATTTTGTTACGACACGGGAAGTTCTAGCAATTTGCCTTAAGGCACGATGCCATACACCCCACTAGATCATTAGATAATTAATTTACCGTAGGGTAATTTATTGTATCCACTAGATCATTAGATAATTAATTTCTCGTAGGGTAAGTTATTGTAATCGTCCAAAAATCGAAATTGAAATTTCTTGCATTTCTCGACGATTTGAAGGTTTCTGAACATTTTGACATACTTCAGAAAAAATGTATGTGTGTGTGTATGTGTGCCCGCATTTTCCGTTCACGTTTTCGGCCGTACGGATCAACCAATTTGAATGGTTCAAAAAACATTAGATTCCTATTGATAGGGAGATGTGCTAATTAGTTTTTGGGAAAAGCAGGTCCAGCAGTTACAGAGATAAAACGCAAAGAGTGCAGAAAATAGAAATCGAGTTTTTGAGAGAATGGAGCATCCGATTTTAATGATCTAAAAACATTCAATTAATAATGATTGGGAGAAGTGTTTGTTAGTTTTTGGCAAAGGCAGGCCCAGCCATTTCGAAGATACAGAGCTAAAAGTGCAAAAATGGCAGTTTTTGAGAGAACTAAGAGTCCAATTTAAATGATTCAAAGAACTTTCTGCTTGTTTTAACAAAATAATTGATTATAAAAAAAATATATTTTTGTTTAAAAATTTTTTTTTCAAATTTTTTTTTGCCAAAAAAATTTTTTCTGTATATCGAAAATAATTCAGATTTTATTTTTAATTCGGAATGATGTTCTAATAAACTTTAAACAAATAATTTCAACTTTGCAATTCATTTTATATAATTCTTATAAATATTAGACAATGTTATAATATTTATAATAATTCTTTCGAAAACATTCAATATTTAACATAACTATTCTACAAAGGTTCCAAAATAAAATTTTGAAAGAAATCGTGAACGCTCCAAAATACGTTCCCAATTGGTTGATACATCAAGATCTAAGAATTCGAACTATAGAAGAAGAAATTAGTCTTTACTGCACCAGATACCAAGCTCGTCTAAGTCGTCATCCAAACGTATTAGCGTTAGATCTGCTCAAGTCTCTCAAAAAAGCCAAGCCAAGCGTCTCAAAAAAAGAATCTGCAATGATTTACTACAAAATATAACATAACATCTAAGAAAGCGCTATCGCAGGATAGCGATCCTTCTCACGCAGTCAGATAATATATAACTGACAAATGTAGCTCATTAGTTCTAATTTTAATAAATTTTCATTAAATATTTAATTACATTTTTTAATAAATATTTTAGGATGTTCGATTGATGGACCTTATCCCCGTCTTCAATTTCTTTTTTTAATTTGATCACAAAAAAACTAATAAATTAATCAGCACGATTACTAAAAGAAATCTTTTGGGCGGCTTTTCAATTTTCAAAATCAGTTGGATCTTTTGCGAAAACGTGGACGAAACAGTTTGCATGTTTCTCCTAATTCCAGAGAAGCGGCTTGGTCGATTAGGCGAACTTAATCAAATCTCTCCTTTATCAAGTGTCATCAAATGGCTTTTAATCGGTTCAGCCATTTTGAACAAAACTTGGATGAATGTTAAATTTTAACTCATCACATCACCAAAGCGACTTTTCACAAATTTCGAATTGTGAAATTTTATAATTGAACAATTTGACGTGGGGCCGCAATATTTTAGTAGGTTCTTTAAAAAATGATCACTATCATCACAAAGTCATTGGTGTTTTATTGCAAAGACACGGCCCAGCCAATCTTTATCAAAGACTTATCAATACGATTTCCAATCAATATGTTTAGAATATGTTTTCAATTTTGAAAGCTGGTTCAAGATTTTTGCTGAAATATGGGCTATTTTTTTCTTTTCAGCGGAATTGGCTATTTGGATATTCTGGCAAAAAATAAACTTCTAATTCGGGATTTTGTAAAGTAATTCAAATATTATAATTTTCCAAACAAACCATTTGAACATCGATTTTTTGTCACTCTTATTACTGTGGTGCTAATTGTTGCTATAATAGGTGTATGATCTGATGATAAATCTGAACTATCTTCTATGATTGTGTATAAATCAGAAATGCCATTTGTTATATAAAAATCTAGAAGGTCAGGGTGTTTGTTTCTGTTCGTAGGCCAATAAGTTGGTTTTTCAGTCGATAAGAATGAATAATTTTTATTTAATAGCATTTGTGCCAACTGCTTACCTTTAGGAGTGGTAAGTCTAGAGCCCCATAAGGTATTTTTACTGTTAAAATCACCACTGACTATAAATCTGTGTCCTAATGTATCAAAGAATTTTTCATAATCATCTGTTTTTATCGTGTGACATGGCGGACAATATACATAATAGACAATGATATCTTAAAGAAATGTATTAATACATATTGTAGTTGGTTGTAAATAATTTTCTTGAAAATTTGTTAGTGTGTAATGTGAAATACTGTTTTTAATCAATATTCCAGATCCAGCGTTTGCAGTATTGTCTGGGTGATTAGTATTATAGAAATAATAGAAAGGAATCTTGAAATGTAGATTATTTGTTAAATGCGTTTCACTGATTAGCATCACATCAATCATGTGTTGTAAAAATAATATTAATTCATTTTTATGATTTAGAACACCATTTACATTCCATTGAGCAATCCGAAGAAACTTGGCCATTAATTTTTAACTAATTTGGTTAACATGTTCATGTCTAACTTATTTTGTTGTATTAGTTGTTTGAACATGCCTTCAAAATCATTAATAAATGTGATAAGGGCAACGGTTACCTGTGACTGTTCGTTTTCGTCACTTCGTTGAAACTTAAAAACTAATAAGAGAAATGCGTAAAAGTATTGACAATGAAATGACAAATTTAGCAGGAATAAAAAGTAATACAAAAATTTAGAAGGATAAAAAGTACAGATAATTTTTAAAAAGAACAAATGCTTTGCAAACAAAATAATCCTAAAAACATATATATATATATATATATATATATATATATATATATATTGATATCAAAAATGAGAGAAAACAAATTTCCTAGGATTAAAATTCATTTACGAGACATTCTTTTTTATTATTTCTGCATTTAAAATAGTTATTTTGCTATCTAATCAATCATTAATAAAGTTGCATTTTACGAAATCTTAAATTAGTTTGCATGGAGCCGCATAGGCGCTGTATGGACAGTATGGCGAGGTGTGCCGGCACCCTTACAACTTACTCCGCTCTCCGTTTGCTTGCTTTGTAATCTATGTGGTGATTCACACCGCAGAATTTGCAATCATGGGTTTTTGTAATGTTAATTTGATTTTGTTTAAATTGAGTGCTCTAGTGTACAATTAATGATCTAATTTGGCGATAAATTATTTGCAGGCTTTCGATTAGTATTTTGGTGTGTCATAGTTTCGTTTATTGATTCAATCTGTCAAGAAATAACATTTGACAGCCTTCTATTCTGCAGTTTCTTTGATTTTAGTTGCGAAATATTTGTTAGTAACGTTCTTGCTTTTTGCTTATTTCTTATCGATTTAAGTTTAAACTGAATGTTTAAATGTCCGTATTATTTATCAGATTAATATAATATCGTTATCAATATTATTTCAATCCACATGGTAGTTATGTTTTAACAATTTTTTATATGGGCATAGCATGTTTTCTTTCTTTTCATATGATTTTCATATTTATATTTGTATATATCAATTGTTATAATGTTTTATAATTTCAGATGTCGATAAAGAAACACTATTTATGATGAAAGGTTATGGGAATGTTTTGGCTGTATGGCTGTACGAGATAATTTGCATAACAGATTGCTAATGTAAGTACCTTCATATCTTTCATATCAATCTGGAACACTTATAATTAAACTCAACTGATTGATTAGATAGCAAAATAACTATTAAATGCAGAGATAATAAAGAACAATGTCTCGAAAATAAATTTTAATCGTAGGAAATTAGTTTTCTTTCATTTTGAACAATATATATATATATATATATATATATATATATATATATATATATATATATATATTGATAGACAATGTTTTAATGGGTAACCTGAAACTTCTGTAAATGTACAACTGATACGTTTTCTTTTTCTTGATTTTCTGTATTAAATATATCTATGAATTACCCACTAAATAGGTCCCGTCATCAGCATTACAATTCAGTAGGGCTCTAACTACTAAGACCTGCCAAATGCCAGCGTCATATGTGGGGGCATAATATCTGCTACTCGCAAACGATATCCTTTCATCAGCATCACATATCTGATGATATTTATTATTAAGTCAACCTTCAAAATACTTAAGTAATCAAATAAATAATACTTTTTGCTTCAATATTAATAGAGTAATAACCCTTCCGATTCATATAAATGCCGCAGTGATTTTTTGTGGGAGCTTAACTATCTTCTGATTGTATCTTATTTCTTATTGTAGCTAAACTTAATCTTTCAGTCTTGATTATTAGTCCTTGGCAGTAATATTTTATTTTATATTGATAAACATTTGCATTAGTAGCATTTTGTTTATTGTTAAAGTTATTTTAAATAGTACATGAAATAAAAGTATTTTATTAGAGGAATTAAGTATTTTAAAAAGATTTTATCTTTGGATTTAGTAATTAAGCACCTACTGCTACCCTTTGGTAACCAAACTTAAAAATTACAGATATTTATATCAGGCACATGCATTAAAATTTGGCATGGAGCGTGATAAATATTGCTCTTTTTTAAACGTGATTTCCATTATCTACATTTGAATAGTCAACATTAAAGTTTCCAATTTTCTCATCATAGACATCATGTTGAGGGCCATTTAATTTGTACAATTTTTATTAGTTTGTTATTTTTAATAATTAAACAATCTATACTAGCGCATAACCAGGATTGTAATGGCTTCACTAAGAATCCAACTGGGATCACATCAACAGGATATTTAGCTATTGTTTTTTTTCACTTTCCATGCCGTATTTCATTGCCTTAGTTGGATGGGCCATTGGCCTTGGATTGATTAGATCATGGCCAAAGTTTTAAAATTGTTTTTGTGACGAGCTGAAAACCACTCTGGACTTTCACTTTGATCTATTTTTTTAAACACAACGATTTGGTTATTATTTAGTTGACTTAATATTTTGATAATAGTAATCATACAGTTTGAATCAGAAAAATATATTACGTATAATACTGGCTCTGTTTTAAAGTTTTAAGTAAAACTTCAATTAGATTTTCGGTATTTTTCACAGCTATTCTTTTAATGGTCATATCACATAAATCAGTGACAAAAATTCTAGCAGCTGTTTGAATTGCGGTCTCAGGCTCACATTTTTGAATAGAGCGAAAAGATCAGTTCATTACTGATACGTCATTATCTTCTATATTATAAACTAGTCCATATTTTCTAGTGTTTGGGAAATCATCAGCAATATCAAGAGACTTTGAATAGATTTACTTTCCCAAATGAGATTTGACTAATTTTTCCAGCCTTTCTCTTCAGATGTTTTGGACTAACTCCTGTCGTTGTTTATATAATGAATAACAGCATAACAGTAGTTACAATTAGCAGTACTGTTTTAATAAAGCGACTGATAGAAATTCTCGAGAAATTCATATAGCAATTGCCTACATCAGTTTGATATGAACCATTACCTAAAAATGAATAGCTGCAAGCACCTATAATAAAAATTTAGTAGTTATTTTAACAAACCGTTTTTAGATGTTCCTGCTTTGGGTGATGAAGTAGCTCTCTTCTTTGTTCTTCCTTAGAAGATATTTTTCTGTGCTGTTTTCTTGATGATTGCATTGGCGGTTTCCATTAGTTCTTCGGTTTCCGTATCCGGGTCTGAATCTGTAATTGATAGGCTGCAAATCTATTTGAAAACTCCAGTTTAGATGCGTCGTCGGTGCTATTATTTGAATTTAGCAGTTGTCGAAATACGTTACTTGTGTACGCTCTCTTATTAAATTGGTTCTTTCTTCAGCGATCCTTTTTTTAAGACGGTTTTAACTGGTCGATTAATCGCACAATTTTAACATATAGCTGGGCTAAAGGAACTGTCTTCCGCTATAGAGGGAAACCATATACGGGATTAACCATGTGTAGTGTCACGTGAGATTTATTTATTTAAAAATTGCTGGGCTGAAGACACTCATCCATCAAAGACGGGAAACCATATATTTTTTTATTTTACAATTTAATGTTCATTCTTCAACGTCCATCGATTCCACTCACCGAGCGAACCCCAATCATTCCCATGTTCAATGCTAAATAATGCCAAACTATTCAGCCTATCTTATAACATATTAGTTCTTATATAAGTTTTAATTACTTTTAATTTCGAAAAACTACGTATGCCACTTTGCTACATAAACAGGTAAAGTTATGAGTATTCAAGGCATTGAAAAATTAGGGAAAGCTAAATTATTGCATACTATATAATTAAGGATATCAAATTGTTTTCGGATATTAGAATCAATTATCCGAAAAATATCACGAAATGCAAAAAATTCTATTGAGTTTATATTATTTTCTACTGTTGCCGTCCATTAAATCATTGCAATGCTTTCTTAAAGCTCTGTATTATTTTCCGGCAATTTATTTAAAAAATCGATTTTTTTAAAATCGATCCTTAATTGGTAGAAGCGATCGTTTGTCGAACACATTGCAACTTCTAAAAGCACCTAAAACACATTAATTTTACATTTATCTAGTCGAAATCTTGGCGATTCATCGGATTGCTCATAGTCCAATAGTCGTTTTTTTCTTTCGTTGTTGCACTTCCGAACTACCTTTAAATTCTTGTTCTCCATCCATTTCTTTGCTCAGTTATTTTGCTGTTGTTAGAATATTCTTATAATATATTTCGATAATCTTGCAAAAATATTTTTAAATTTTCGATAGATTCTAATGAAATATTGTGTAATATTTATATTTGTGTCTTGAAGAATTTTACTTACGTGGTTCATTGTATTGAGCCAAGTCATACCAAATTATAAAAGAACAAAGAAATTTATACTTCTTCATTTTTAAGCATAACTCATAAATTCAGAGCTTCGTGTTGATATTCTTAAATGAAATTTTCATTGTTTACAATATCAAAAAGCTTCTCCTAATTGATATCGGAAGGACCGAATTGCATTAATATGGCTGTGCCTCTGGGGGTACTACATCTGGATGAGGGATCTGATAAAGACAGTTAGTGATAGCCCGAAGGCCAGTAACAGATTTATATGACCAAGTTCCTCTCAAGTGATAATTGGTAAAACGCATCAGAAAATCGAACTACAAAGCCTCGTGAATGTCAGCTGAGGCTCGGTGGGGGGGATGAGCAGTTGTAACCCCCCACGCTTGAAGAAAAAAAAAATAAATTCACTCATTTCCTCTCGGCTAAAAGTTTATCAAGTTATAGCTAACCCAATACCTCAACCAAAAAAAAAGTCAGCTGGTTATAACATAGTGCATTGTACGTCAGCTGATGGCTAGATCATGGGAAAAAAAATCTTCACTTTCAGTGATATCCTCTCGGTTAAAAATTTACCAGATGATAGCTTATATGTAACAATTGATAAATATATACGTCAGCTGGCTGTATCTCGGTGGAAAAATCGTCAGCTGATACTTTGAAAGTTGTTACGTAGAAGTTAGCCAGAAGCATTTATTGACTATTTAAAGGCATCAGCTGACCAGGTTTCCCTCGACTTATTGCTAGCTGATTTTTTTTATTCATCACAGTCTTATATTTAAAATCAACTCACAAATTTTCGTGTGGGAGGAAATGACGTCTCTTTGATTATTCGGCATAGCACTCCAATATGAGTGTTGAGATGAAACAAATATTCTATATCAATATTTTTTAGACTTATAAGTATATAATCATATAATTTTAGATATATTCCAATATTTCAATAATCAATTTGCTTAGTATAAATTAACTAGTTACTTGATAAAAAATATTTATTATAAAAAAATTATGACAAATTACAATTCGAATGACAATGTTATTTAATCATTTTCGGCTTCGTTTTGGCTCGAGTCACAACTATCTCTCTCTGATTCATTGTCCGAGTCACTGTCAGAACTGTCTGCTGTTATATTTTCATTGTAATAATCTGTAAAAAAAATTAGAATGCGTATTTTAGCATAATATCATTAATATGATAATAAAATGTTACCTTTTTCGGGCTGGATATTTCATCAATCGATGTTGGTAACTGACTTCCAAAGAACCAGGTAAAATCATATTTATTGTCAATTTCTTCCCAACCATAGTCTTCCAGATCATCAGAAGTTGGAACCTTCAAGTGTGCATTTGACCAAATTTGAGCAATATAGAATGCTCTTAAAAATTGCTGATATAGCTCTGACTCGCAAGGTGGTAGAGAAGAGCTATCAATACCTTTCTTTGGTAACTTGAATGTCTCCGTATCCAAGAATTTATATGTTTTTTCAAACAACACTACTCTTGCCTCATTGACCTTTTTCAGACGATTTAATCCATACATATGGCAAACAAACTCTTGAATTTTCTCAAAAATATTGTCTCTATTCTCTAATGATTTTGACATTTGGATGAAACACTCAATGAAATCATTCGATTTAGCCATTATTGAAAATAGTCGTTTTTTTCCTTTTCGAAAAAAGGCCGGGTTAAAATCACACCCTGTGAATGCGTGAAATGCCGGAAGTGGAACATTTATAAATCTTTGGGCTTTTCCAACTCCAACTTCCATGCAAATGTTGATATTTTCTGATATATTAGCCATGTTAGCTAACATAATTATTAACACGTCAGTGTCGGAACAACGAATCGTCACGTT